TATATATATATATATATATATATATGTGTGTGTGTGTGTGTGTGTGTGTGTGTGTGTGTGTGAGTTTGACATTTTTTATATAATTAGAACTGGTGATATTTTTTAAGAAAATTATAGGTTTTCCTTAAAAAAAGAGAAAATTATCAACCAAATATATTTTATATTTTAAAAAAAAAATCAAAATAGTACCAAACACGTTTTTTAGAAATATAAAACAGAAAACAAAATAAAAACTAAACTAACTAAAAAAACAAAAAGTGATCCCAAACAGAGCCTTAGATTTATAATGTTTTTCATCTACTTTCCTATAATTTTGGCTAAAACAAGTTGCAATGTTTTGGTTTATAAATAAAATCTACTGTCATTAAATTTCAGCCTTATTAGTTGTATTCTTGCATTGTCCAAATAAATTGAGATGAGCTAAATGAGAAATAAGTTGAGAAATTCTCAATTTATGACAATATTTTGAATAAGCTTTCAAAGATTTGTTGAGTAGAAAACAACAAAGAAGATTGCCATGCATAAAACTATTGAGAATCTATTGAATAATTAATCTATTGGATCATTCCGGTGACCTCTCCTTAATTTGATTGAGTTTCTTACTAATGAAAAGTCTTGGTTTTTCATGTTTTGTTGGAATCTTCGTGCCTTTTTTTCTCTATCTTGTGGCCCAAATGCTTCGTCTTTGGTCTTTGCCATTAATTCACACTCACCACATCTTAAAAGATATTAAATTCAACTTTTTCTATACCAAAATCTTACTAACATAATTGGCTAAAAAGTAAAGATAAAGAAAATGAAGAATGAAACTCTAAGCTTTCATTGCCTTGCAGAAAGTGCAACACTAGAGCAAGTGATTTGAATGTGTTTTTGATTTGAACTCAAGGCTCAACATTATAAGAAAAGATTAAATTTTAAGAAATTAGCAAATTTCACGTTAATCACAAATGAATATTTGCTATAGAACAAATATTTGCTAGTTCTAGTTCTGGATTACTTTAAATCTAGATAATGATTTTGAAAAGAGGAACATGTTGGCGTGAGGTTGCTGGCAGACTTCACTAGGGCTGGCCAAGCATATAAGAGCATGAGTGTGAAATGGCATTGGGCAACTTGGCCAAGAAACCTTGATGCTCAATTGAAAAATATCTTTGACTAACTTGAACTTAGGAGAAAATTCATGGCGACTTCAGCAAGTTGATTTTTCATGACATAAGCGACTAGCCTTGAAAGCAGTCTGCTGAGAACGGTCAACTTGCTTTGCCCTTTAGTGAAAAAGACCGGCTACACTTGAACCTGCCTTGAGTGATATTTGGGCGAGCACCGTCTCCGCTCCAAGCTAAGCTCGCAATGTACTGCTACAATGGTTAATAATTGTCCACAACATATCAAAAAAAAACTTCAGACCTAAACAGGGCTGGCGGGTTGATTACAAAACAAATTTAGCAGAAAAGCTTAATGAAATCAGCAGCCCGACAGGAATTAAGATGATCTAGGATTTAAATCGTACAGATTTTTCAAACAACCACAATAAATAGATAAACAGGAAGCTGTGCCCAGGCAAAATGAGAAGTGAGATCAAGCAAGCAACAAAGAATGAGAGAAAAAAAAAGAAGGATTCAATAAGTCACCCGAAATGGCCATAGCGAAGCCGCATCCACCCCCGGACACGTCCCTCCACGCATCCCCGGCGGCGGATTCTGGCCGGCGAACGGGAACCGGGTTCAATAATGGCGATCTCTCAGCAGATACTCCGGGAAGATAGCCCCACATCAGTACTACTTCCTTTTCCTTCTCTTTCTCCTCCAACATACCCATCTCCCTTCTGTCCTCCTCCAACTCCTCTGCTCCACCACTATTCCACCACTATCATTCATTCTCCCACTTCCCTTCTCACTTTATCAACTACGCTTCTCCAAGAAATGACAGCCGCGTTTTCTGCCTTCTATCTTTAGTCTTTCGAACTCATTCTCACTTATCTGCAGTACTAGCCCTCGTACCAGGAAGAGGAACGACCGTGCAAGAAAGCGAAACGGCGAAAGAAAACAGGGAGAGCGCCGGTAAGCCCTAGGCCGAATCATTTGCTTGGCGAATGCTGGTGCCACGTAGGATGGTCATCTGTGTGTTTCTTGACACGTGGTGAAACAGCGACCGGGAAATTCTCCTGGGCATTTCTGACCACGCGTTCACCAGATGCTTCTCGAAGGGCTACCAAACCGCATTGAAACGGATACCAATCGTGGAGGAATTTTTTATACGTTATTATTTTAATGGCTACGGATAAAACAGTTCGATTGAGAGATTGGTCCCACGAAAATTTTTAGAAAAATTTACATGAATTTAAAAATATTCTATTTGTCACCTACGAGGGATAGAGTATTGGACATATGAGAGAAGTAGAGGAAATTTTAATTCTATGAGGGATTGATCATTGGTTCTTTTTATGAGGGATCGGTCGTTGGTTCTCTCTATGAGGGATCTGAGAATCTGGTTGAGGGAATTGATGACATACACCATTCCTTAGAACAGGTGTCTACTGCTTTCTTCGTTCGAATATTCTTTTCTTTTGTCGGCCCATGATTCGACCTAACAGAATGATGCTTGGTGTTTCTATCTTTCGATTGTTTCGATGTAATTCTTTGGTATCATTCTAATGCGATCCTTTGAATTTCCTTGATTCTTGTGGTCATAATTTCAATGTAAATATTTAATACTATAAATATTTTATTTCTTTAAAAATGACAACTGTTATAAGAATAATAGAACTAAATGAAAAATTTTATTTACTTTTTTATGCAATAAGCACTTGCAATAATTGTACTCCCTGAATTCCTGTGTCAATATTCCCTATAAATAAGGCAAGATTAGTGTTGTGTGGAGTGATACACCTAAAATATATAGTGTTTTTAGACACATTTTTATACCTATTTTTGAGATGTTGCCCTTTAATGGAAGGTATTTTTGTGTTTTTCTTGCAGATACAAATAAAAAGGTGAAAAATACTTAAAGGAGTGAAAAAGGATCAAATTTGGGGCAAAAAGGTGAAAAATGTGCAAATGAGTTTTGGCGCCTAAACGCCAGATCCGACACTTAAGCATCGGTTAAACAAAGAAGGTCACGCCTAAGCGCCAAAGGTCTCGCGCTTAAGCGCCAGTGGCAGTTACTAGACGAGTAATTCGATTTCTGTGAATTTTGAAGAGGTTTTTGAGGCACTCATTGACTTAATAGGTGGTTATAACCATCATGGACAAAAATTATCACGAAATGATGCATCTCTTTGGGAAATATATTGAATTGGGACACATTTTGTAGAGTTTCCAAGGCACTTCTTGGAAAACTATAAAAGAAAGAAGAGAGGACTTTGAAAAGGGTCCTGAAAATACTTGGAAAGTTTTGAAAGTTCATCAATTTGGGGAGTTAGTTCAGAAAGATTTTCAGGCACCACTTTTACTTTTACTTTATCATTTTTGTTAATTTATTTTGAGTGATTGAAAAAAAAAATATTTAAAGGAACTTTAAGAGTTTGGTGGAGAACTTGAGATAAGTTTTTATATTTTTATTTTGAGACTACTTTTAGTTTTAATTGAGACTTGTTGTTGGTTTGACAATGATTTCTACTTTTAAACTAAAGTGTGATTTTATTTTCTCCATGGATTCTGAGTAGTTTTCTTTATATTTCTTTCGCTGACAACCCTTTCATCAAAGGATTTGCAATCATGAGATTGATGATAATATGCTCAATTGACACTCTATGTTTCTGAACTTCTTCCTTAACGACAAGATATTTTAATTCCATGTATTTAACACCTTTGGAATACTTATCATTTTTTAAAAAGAAGACTGATACAAAGTTATCACAGTAAATTTTCAGCGGCTTGGCAATACTGTTCAACAATTCAAATACCGAAAAAAAAATTCCACAGCCATAATCCCTGAATTGTAGCTTCGAAGCATGCCACAAATTCAGCTTCCATAGTGGATGCAGCAATGATGGACTGCTTCGCACTTTTCCATGAGATTGCTCCTTCATCCAAAAGGAACAGATAACTAAATGTTGATTTTCTGGTATCAGCACAACCAACAAATCTAAATCTGAATATCCTATCACTTCAAGATAATTAGATTTTCTATAAGTAAGTATGTGGTCCTTTGTTCCTTACAGGTACCTCAAAACTTTCTTTGCAGTTTTCCAATGATCTATTAACTCTAAGTCATAATGAGCTACTAGTGCCATGATAATTCTAAATGAATCTTTCTTAGAAACTGGAGAAAATGTTTCTTCATAGTCGATGCCATCTTTCTGTGTGAAACCTTTGCAATAAGTTTGGTTTTATATTGTTCAATATTGCCATTTGAGTTGCGCTTAGTCTTAAAGACTCATTTACACCTAACTCTTTTACAACCTTCAGGTAATTCAACAACATCCCAAACTTTGTTATGATCCGTCAATTTCAACTCATCTTTCATTGCATCTAACCATTTAGAAGAATTTGCACTTTCTATGGCTTGTGAAAATGAAATTGGATCTTCATTGACTCCCAAATCAAATTCAAACTCGTTTAGATAAACCACATAATCATCAGAAGTAGCAGACCTTCTTTGTCGTTGAGACCTTCTAGGTACAACTTCATTTAGTTCATCTAATGTAGGTTCATTAGTGACAGTTTCATTATGAGGTGTTTGATCATTTATCTGTTGTTCCTGTAAGTTGTCAGACTATTCAGCAACTGTAGGAATAACAACTTTAGAAGAAATTTCAGGTAAAAAAACTTAAACCTTAATTTCTTGGATTTTCAATTAAAGTGAATCCAAACTCCCACTAACTTCACCATTTTCAATGAACTTAGAATTTTCAGCTTCAATAATTCTCATACTGCGGTTAGGACAATAAAATCTATACCCTTTTGATTTTTCTAGCTAATCAATGAAGAAACTACTGGTTATTCTTAAGTCTAGTTTCTTTTCATGTGAATTGTAAATCCTTATTTCTGCTGAGCAACCCCAAACATGCAGGTGCCTTAAACTAGGTTTCCTTCTCGTCCATAGTTTAAAGGGAGTCTTTGTAACTACCTTACTAAGAATCATATTTAACAAATATGTAGCAGTCTTTAAAGCATGCATCCATAATGATAAGGGTAAAGAAGAATTACTTATCATACTGCTAATCATTTCCATCAGAGTATGATTTCACTTTTCTGCAACACCATTTTGTTGCGGTGTTCTTGGCATAATGTATTGAGTGCATATGTCATTAGTTTGAGGGAATTTAGCAAATAGACCTGGACATTGTCTAGATTCATCGTACCTTCCATAATATTCACAACCTCTATTGGATTTGATGATTTTCACTTTTCTGTCTAATTGTCTCTCAACCTCAGTTATAAACACGTTTAAGGCATCTAGTGATCGAGATTTTTTCATGCAATAAGTAGACATACCCATAACATGAAAAGTCATCTATAAAGGTGATAAAGTATTTTTCTCCACCAAAAGATGGAACATCAAAAGGTCCACAAACATCAGTGTGTATAATTTCAAGGAGCTGTGTGCTTCTTGTGGTAGCTTTCTCAAGTGTGTGTTTTGTGAGTTTTCCCTTAATACAATCCACACAGATGTCAAGATCAGTGAAATCCAAATCATTAAGGATTCCACTCTTTATCAATCTTTCAATTCTTTCTTTGGATATATGACCCAAACATTTCTGCCACAAAAAAAACTGAACTTTCATTCATAAAACTGCGTTTAGTACCAACATTATAATGCAAGGTCATAAGAGTCTCAGCGAAAAGGTTATCAAGTTTAAGCTTATATAAACCATCAGAAAGAATACCAAAACCAATAAGATGATTGTGTTTAAATAAACTGAAACATCCATTCCCAAATTCAGAAAAGTGTCCAATATAATCAAGTTTTGACAATGAAATCAAATTACGAGAAACAGAAGGGACAAAGTGTTTGAAAAAGGTCTAAATGATGTCCAATATCTAAAATCAATTGATAAGTTCCAATGGCTTCAATTGGAGCTTAGACTCAGTTTCCCATGAAAACAAACTATTCATTTGGATTTATGGTTTGGGTTGTAAGGAATCGCTGCATCGTATTAGAAATATGAGTGGTACAACCAGAATCAATCCACCAAGTATTATAAGGAACTTCTACCAAATTTAATTCAAAACATACAAAAATGCAAGGTTTACCTTTCTTTTCAAACCAGTCTTTGCACTTTTGACACTCATTTTGATAGTGTCCAAGCTTTCTACAAAAATGGCACTTAATTTCCTTATGTTCCTCTTTGTGAATTTGGGCATATGACACATTAATCTTTAGTGGTCCTTGCTTGCCCTTTCCATATTTCTTTCCAGGTTTCTTTACAGCTCTTCTTTGATGACCCATGAGATTAATGAAGTGATTTCCTCCTTTCTTAAGTCTTGCTTCCTCTTGAATCTTGCTTCCTCTTGAATGACTTCCTCTTGAATGATCATACATTGCAATTCATTCACATTCCACTTATCTTTCATAATGTTATAATTCATGTGAAATGGACCATAGTCGGAAGGCAAGGAGTTAATAATAAATTGCACAAGGAAATTTTCATTCACTTCCATTCCCAGAGTCTTAAGTTTTGCTGCTATGTTCGTCATTTCAACGACATGCTCATGCATAGTAAGAGAACCATCAAATTACATGTTGGTTAATGTACTTAATAATGTTCCAATAAGAGACTTATCAACAGAGACAGACTCAGAACAATCCTCAGCAAATTTCATGAATTCCTTTGCATTTTTAGCGTTAGAAAATATTCACTTTGTGTGTTTTGCTACAGTCATTCGCATAAACATTAAGCTTA